TTTTCAGGGGTTCTGAACATTTTTACTTAGAGTACCCGATCCCGTTTACTTAGTACGTTTTCGAGATACAGCACCCCGGTGAATTTCACCTCTGGTGAGTATTAAGATCGTCCTAATAATTGTTATTTTTAAATTACCTAATGTCTTATCTTTTTCCCTAAATATTTTTAAAAAAATTGTATATTTTTAATATATTATAATTACGAAAATAAATGATTACTTACATCTGATACCAATAATTAGCCTTCTGTAAATCTCTTGAAGTGCCAATCCCATTTCGGTAACAATAACCAACTTTTGACATTCCAATAATATTTCCCATCTCGGCAGATTGTTGATAATAAACAAATGCCTTATGTTCATCCTTTTTAATTCCTTTTCCATAGTGATAACAATTTCCAAGGTTACAAATTCCACGAGCACTTCCCATATTGGCAGATTTTTGATAATAAATGAATGCCTTGTGCTCATTCTTTTCAATCCCAATTCCATGTTGATAACAATATCCAATTTGATTTATTGCACTAGCACTTCCCATCTCGTCAGATTTTTTATAATGAATGAATGCCTTATGTTCATTCTTTTCAATCCCAATTCCGTAATAATAACAATTTCCAAGGTTACAAATTGCACTAGCATTTTCCATCTTTGCAGATTTTTGATAATGAATGAATACCTTATGTTCATTCTTTACAATCCCTATTCCATGTTGATAACAATATCCAAGATTATTTATTGCGCCAGAATTTCCCATTTCGGCAGATTTTTGATAATTAATAAATGCTTTATGTTCATTCTTTTCAATCCCAATTCCATAATAATAACAATTTCCAAGGTTATAACTTGCACTAGCATTTCCCATCTTGGCAGTTTTTTGATAATGAATGAATGCCTTTTATAACCCCTATTCCATGTTGATAACAATATCCAAGATTATTTATTGCGCTAGCATGTCCCATCTCGGCAGATTTTTGATAATGAATAAATGCTCTATGTTCATTCTTTTCAATCCCAATTCCATAATAATAACAATTTCCAAGGTTATAACTTGCACTAACATTTCCCATCTCTTCAGATTTTTGATAATGAATGAATGCCTTATGTTCATTCTTTTCAGTTCCTATTCCATCTTCATAACAACGCCCAAGGTTATAAATTGCATCAGTATTTCCCATCTCGGCGGATTTTTGATAATGAATAAATGACATATTTTCAATCCCAATCCAATTCTGATAGCGATATCCATCTTCATGCATTTCAGCGGTATTACCCACCTTTGCAGATTGTAAATAATACAGTAATTCCAGATATAACTTTAATAACATCTCGATAATAATTTCCAAGTAGATATATTCCATTGCACTTCCCATCTTGACAGATTGTCGATAATGAATGAATGCCTTACGTTCATCTTTTTCAATTCCTATTCCATCTTGATAACAACGTCCAAGATTATTTATTGCATTAGCATTTCCCTCCTGGCAGACTTTTGATAATGAATTAATGCCTTATGTTCATCTTTTTCAATCCCTATTCCATGTTGATAGCAGAGTCCAAGGTTATTTATTGCATTAACATTACCCATCCTAGCAGATTTTTGATAATGAATGAATGCCTTATGTTCATCCTTTTTAATCCCTATTCCATGTTGATAACAGAGTCCAAGGTTATTTATTGCATTAGCATTTCCCATCCTGGCAGATTTTTGATAATGAATGAATGCCTTATGTTCATCCTTTTCAATCTTTATTCCATGCTGATAATTGCAACCAAGGTCATTTATCTCAGATGAGTTTATATTTTCCATTTTGTTTTGAGTATGAAAAAAAAAAATTGTGAATCTGTATTTAAAATATTTATTTTGAGTAGTACATAATATATTATGTACGTACGTACATACGTACTGTACATTATCTGTTATCGCACAGAAAGCTGATATTACACAGATATGCACGAATGTTAAACCGATAAGTTGTGTAATAGAGATAGACGTTACTAATTAAATATATAATTTACAGGAATTTGGAATTTCAACAATTTCCCAATATCATCAACACGAAAATCATGAGGCCAAGGCGCAATATACTTTTAATTTTTTAGGTTCTTTAAAAATCTGCCAAATTTAAACAATTTAAAAACATTAAAAAAACAAATTTTGCCATCCTTATTTTTATAATTCAGTATTATATAATTTGAAAATACCCTTGTATGATTTCAATGTTCTAAATACTGTATCTGTATTTTAAAATTCTAATATAGTTTGTCTTCAAAATTTAGCGGTAAATCTTTTTTAAGTCTACCCGAAAAAATTGAAACAATCGACTGTATCAATCCAGTTTATATCGAAAGGATGGGAGTTTCTGCATTAAAATCTGTGACACAATGATTGTTTTCTTCACAACGAATAAACTATTTGTATCGTATGATCGCTATTATTAGTGATGAAGTACATCGGCAAGTTAGTTTTTTTTAAAATTCCACATAGATCTACAACTTTATATAGTTATTATATATATTAATTTTTATATATTATTAATAAAGCTTTATATAAAATTTATTTAAACTTAGGCCATACAAACTTAATAATTCGGTTTTCATAACGTAAAATTTTTAAAAATGACCCGGATTTTAATTTTATTTTCAAAAAATTTGATATATAAAAAACATATAAAATTTTTTATAGATTTTTTAAAAAAACTCACCCGGATAGTATATATACTTGAAATTTTTTTAAAAAATTTTTAAGTTTTGACCCGGCCGGTTATGAAAATCGAATCATTAAGTTTGTATGGCCTTATATAAATATAATTTTATAAAATAAGATTATATAAATTTTATATATTTGTAAATTTTATATATTATATTAAGTAACTTTTATATACTACTATATAATATCTAAATAAATTTTTTACATAAATTTTATATATTAAAAATTTTATATATTATAAATTTCTAAAAATACCTAGGGTGTGGTACCGGTATAAAAAGAATATAACCTTATATGGTTATTAGGATTAGTAATTAATGGTGCATTTATATGTAAAATTAGGCGCTGAATATTTTTAATTAAGAGCATTACATTGGTTTTCTTAATAAAATTATGAGAAATTAGTGGGTTTTGTTTTTTTCTTATATCCGGGACTACACCCGCCGGGTACAAATAGAAATTCTCAACAATTATATAACTTTATATACCGTAAAGAGTGTTGCTAACTTGCCCCCCCGGTGATGTTAACCACCTTACGATTTACCAATCAGATCGTGGGATCTTGCGTAACAAAATAAAGAAATTTTTAAGAAAAAAATTAAAAAAATGAGTGTTGCTAACTTGCCCACTTGGTGATGTTAACCACCCTACGATTTACCGATCAGATCGTGGGATCTTGAGTAACAAAATAAAGAAGTTTTAAAGAAAAATATTAAAAAATTACCCAATATCGCAAAATTTTATTACAAAAACTAGCTTTGGGCTATTAAGTAAAAGTCTTTAGTACCTAATTTTACATATAAATAATTTGTATTCTGATTTAATATAGTTTGTATCTTAACTTTAATCTTTAAAAAATAATTATTTACACAGTATAAAAAATTCTATAAAAATAAAGGTAGTTAAAATTTATAATTTTAACCGAGTTAAAATTAGTTAAATTCTATAATGATATAACCTTTGTATATTACAAAATTTAAATAAATTTTAATATAAATTTTGAAAAAAGAATTAGTCAATATCTCAAAATCTTACTAAGGTAACCACCTATTGAGTTACTAATAAAAAATGTTCCTCTCGTAATTTTACTCCGACCCCAACCCTAATTATAACTCTATAACTTTTATTTATCCTAACAATTTATTTATTTGACTACTAATATAACATTATATTTATTAAATTTTTAGATAACTATTAGATAAATTTATTTATAATTATATTTATGTATAAATTATAACTATGTAAGTCTACATAACTCTATATAAAAACAACTTCAAGATGTAGTTCATTTGCTGATAACTCAAATTTATTGTCGATTTTCTAAACATTTACATAATTTTTTTTATTTTGACAATAAATTTGATTAATAACCTTTAATGTAGGCCAAATTGAGTTTACGACTTCAACCAACCTTTCATTTATCTTTATTGGGCTATAAGAGAAATCGTACATATGTACGATTAATTGTCCATTAAAGGTCTGCAATGTCACATACTCAATTTTGTTCAGGCCTTGAATGGTATGTGACATGTATTTTGGATTAAAATTCTCACGAACACGCGCCCCAGCCATTAACATTGTCATTATGAGTTTTAACCCATCGCTTTGTTTCTTTTTTGTGGGCGAGTTTAGAGGTCTACTAGATTCAAGAGCACCTACTTCCATCTTGAATCCATACTTTAGGCTTGAACACATGAATTGTCCATCAGGACGAACGCTGAGACTTGATCTGCTCGTTTCATTTGAAAAATCATCGGCGCTAATATTGATGAATATTAAGTCGTCTTTCCGTGAAATTGAAGATCGTGAACGCGGTGATGAGGGTTGACGAGAAGACGAACGTGATGGCGAACATGTTGATACCTCTCTGTTCACCCCTCTACACGTTTCATAACTTGAATCCTTCATGTCGAAACATACGTATTTTTGAGATCTTCAAGAAAATAATTGATATTACCAAGAAAGTAGAATTTGAAAGATCGATAATTTCTTCGATCCGTTTACACTATCTCTCAAATCACATTTTGACAATTCTTTGCCGTAGAAAGGTAATTCTTCTTTAACATCGATATAACAAAAGATCGAATCTCGGCATCGAAATATATCATGATACATTAGATTCAAGTAATAAGAGTGTATCTTGTATAATTTTTTTTTTAATACTTTTATGATATAGCTATGACAAAATATTTATACAATTTAGGGTTACGCTATATCAATATTAAAAGTTATGCTATTAATAATTAAAGCTACATCACTGATTAAAGTTACATAACTTATTATTAATGCGACACAATATGATAATGGGAACCATGCGGACTTTGCACTGTAATCGGTTGTATCTAAGTTGTAAATTCTGAAATTACACACTTACCTTACTAAGTTACATCCCAACTTAACGATGTATGGTAATTTACTATATGATGAACCAATCTGATTAATCTATACAAACAATAAAAATACAACTTTTATTGTTAATGAAAAAGAGAATTCGCCTACAAAACCTTTATTCTATTTATACCAAATTTACTCTAACTACAAATTGGTTTATCAAACCAAAATCGATGATATTTTTAATGCGAGATTACGCACAAACTACAATAGACTCTACTTCTATGACAACAAGCATAAATTACTGTTTACGTACGTACGTACATACAGTACCCAGACCGTTACGAGGCATCATGTGTTCAAGTGACATTATGAGCCAAGTAATCTAAGTCTCGAAGCTAAACATAATACATAGGGCTTGGTCACCACCATGGTACGTATGCAATTTTAGTTGTGCTTATCGTTTAGACAAGCATATAATAATAAATTTTTTTGCTTCTTTTTTTATGATTTTAATTTAATATTTTTTAATTTTTTAAAGTTTGTTTTCTTCTATTTTTTTTTTTTTAGTATAAATTTATTTTTATTTATTTATTTTTTTACTATTTAATAAATGCATATTGAAAATAATGCAAAAAAAACACATATACTAATAATAAAAATTAGAGTAGCTACACGACATATTTGCACTAAAACCAGGACCGTAGATACAAGGTAGTATGATTATATTTGTAATGTGCTTAATTAACGAGAATTCTGATTTAATCGCTCATATTATTGTGTATATTGGAAGTTATTAAATAGTGGTTTCAACTTTATAAAATTTTTAGCTTTCAAAACTATACTTCTAATTTACTCTGGAATTTTCAATAGTCAATAACTTGAAAGCATCTCGTTCAGTATATCAAATGTAAATTTTTAATTAGTCGATAATTGAATAAATTGACAAAGTGAGTCATACCTAGGGATGGAAAAAAAACGTTTTAAACAGTTTTTTAGATGTTTTAAAAAACTTTTTAAAACATTGGCGCTGAGACTAAAATTTAAATTTAGGCTAAAATGCCGATTCACAAAATTTCTT